AACGAAGAGCGGCTTGTCTCAGACCTGTTACAGTATGTGCTGCTGTACGCCTGTACCGGCTCATCTGCATATCACGGTGATAGTAAACATTCCTCAACTATCTCCCAGCAATCGGCTGTTTGCAGGAGGGTAGGCAGCGACAGATCAGACATCTCAATCCAAATCGCAAACATGCTCGCTGAATTGTAAGCAGCACTCTGTTTATGTGTATGTGTGTGCACTGAAGGAGGCCAACTCAGCACAGTTTGCAGTGTTGGTAAATATAATGCTGTGTGTTTTCTCTGAGGTGCCACAGCAGCCCGGTAGAAAATGTTATATCAAATACTGAAGAATGAGGAAGCAGATAGAGAGAAGGGAACAGAAAATCAATGAGTGTTTTCAGCCACATCGTGTCTGGTGCTGACACAGCACAAGGCAACTGCTACTGTGCACAAATCCACACACCCAAACTGAAGGGACAGTGGGCCGCCAGCATGGAACACATTGTTCTAATGTGACATATCAAAGGGAATTGAGGATTTTCATTCTTAAAAAAAACAATAAAAAAAAACACCTTTATCTCTTCGTTCTTTTCTATTCTGAGAGGCAAGTGTGCTGACTGCAGAGCTAAAAATCCTCTCACACCGAGCATAGTCGCACTGTGTGTGTGTGTGTGTTATTAAAAAAGATGATTCCTTTGCCCAGACACAAAGCCGTGGGCCCAAACAGGAAGCGCCACACACTCCCTGTACGATCTGTGTGTGTTCAACCCTGACTCCTGAACCTCAGCCTCACACAAACATCCTTCCTGGCTGATTATTTTTAATCTCCGTTTGCACATTTTTATTCAGTTCACGACACAAATGCACAAATCCCAACACACTCTGCCATCCACACACTGGAATGATATACGGTTGAGTCAACAATAATGTTCAATACACAGTTGTGTTTGACTTGTGGTTTATAAATGCACCACTGGACTCAGTCGATACAGTACAGACCTAATTGACATGGGCTTGTTCAAGAGATCACACCACACAGAGCCCTACAATGGCCACTAACTGATTTGCTTAAAGATGTCTTCTCACATCCTTCCACCCACATGTGATGTTTGCTGATGATGTGTAGGAAACTGCAGCAGAGGGGCTCAGTGTAACAACAACAATCATGCTTTGGCATTTCTCTATTCCCTCTGCCTCTTACTGTATCATAGTTAATAAACGTGAGGCAGGACCTCCCTGCAATTTATGTCAGAGGACCCCTCTGCGATATCTCTGCTCCTCCTCATCAAATATACATCAATAAACCACAACGCACACAATAACAGAAAACATCAGCCCTGGCATAGAGCCTCACACACACACACACGACCAACAATCCTGCTTGCAGACAAACCTCTTGCTGTGTCACCATCTTTCCTATTGTGCGCTACTGAAAGCAGCTATTTATCCTAAATCATACGTTCCTCTGGCTGCCTCGTAAACAGGCAGCTCAACGTACACATAGGCAGACACACACCGTTTAATTTTTTATGGCCACAGGCACTCGTCCCTCTTCACTGAGACAGATCAGCGTCATATCTGCAGTGCTGGATGAGTTTGGAAAAATGATAATAGTCTACATCTGTTCAGAGATGTAGCCCGCGCGTCCCTCTTGTGCGTCTTTTGTGTCTAAAGATCCATAAACGTTATTAGATTAGCTCACTGTACATAACTTGATGTATTCTCCAAAACACCATAATCAATAGGTTTTATCAGTGGCACAGTAGCCATTTGCAAAGGCAGCCCCTTATTAACATTCCCGCATGAGTAAAACACTGACAGATGCTGAAGCGCTGAGCCAATTTGTACTTGAAAAATGAACCATCTGTCAAGTGTTTTTAAAGACTCAGCACTCCCTATTTTCCCTCTGAAATGTTTCCCATTGCCTGAATTAAAGCTTTCCATTGATATAATATGGCGAGCTTGCTGACCAGTAGATGTGTGCTGACTGGATAAATGCGATGGAGCCTGTACTAGTGACAAAGTTCATAGTGATTTGGAGCCTTTCTGAAAGCAAAGTAGCTTCAACTCCAAATGAGTGCTCTGTGAACTGTGAGCGGTGGGGTGATAAGCTCATTCCTGAACTCCATTTTTTCAGCGCCGTGCATAACCACTTGCATCTGCGTTACAACATTCTTATCCCTCTCATAATGTGTCACGCTGACTTTTGCCATCTTCCTCCTTTTTCATTCTCGCTTTCCCTCTCTCTTTTTCTGCGCCCCTCTCTCTTACACACATACACGTTGTCATACACACACACACACTCTTCCTGAGCAGTAGGAACATTCCTTGCATCAGCCAGAATCCCATATTAGAGTATCAGCACTCAGTGAAATAGCAGAGGCTACGAAAAAGGATGGTGGTATTCAAGCATTGGTGTGTGTGTGTGTGTGTGTGTGTGTGTGTGTGTGTGTGTGTGTGTGTGTGTGTGTGTGTGTGTGTGTGTGTGTGTGTGTGTGTGTAATAATCTTCAGCTCACATGTCAACAGGTGAGATGACAGCGTCCATGACATTCCCATACCTACTTTTAGTAATGGCTTCACAAACAACTCTGCTGTGTTTTTCTTCACAGAACGGTACAGAAGGTAGACAAAATAACACAGAGGAGTTGTAAAAATTGAAAGGTTAAAAATTATCTCAGGAATCTCACCCAAGGTGTATGAGAATACATGTATAACACCATTTTGAATGTAGTACAATAGTGCTACAGAAGAGTATGATAGTGCTGTGTCAGCGATCAATCAAAGGCAAAATTAACAAAATGCTAAATGATGGTAGTTAATATCAATCTTGAAAATAATCAGGACAGATGCATTCACCAAGTGCTTGAGTTATTTTGTCTATCCCTTGTCTGTGTTTGTGTGTGTGCATAATGTGCCTTCCTCTCCTGCTGCAGAAATGTATGCATGTCAGCCATGGTAGGATTTACATTTATTTCCCCCATGATACTGCAGTGTGTGGCTCCAATGTGAAAAGACTATTCCCGTTGGCTGATTATATCAGAGAGCAGAGGCATGCAGGTTTGATTCCTTGGCAAGCTGGACTGTAATAGCGGAGCCATTAAAGATTGGGGGAACAAGACAGACACGTGTTAGCAAACACAGGGAGTCATAGATTGTGAGATGTGTGTAAGTGCTTCATGTATTGCGGCTTGATACCCTCCATTAGAGAATCTCTAACAGCAGTGTACAGGGTAATGACAGACTGTCTGCATCTCCCAGAGAAGGCAGACTGCTGGGAATGCCATAGCAGACACATAGCACCTGGAGACGCCTCTACACAGATGGAAACACACCCACACACACACACCTCAAACGGTTATGTGGATGCACGGGTTTATCCTTTCATCTGTTCATTCCAGACAGGGAATGCTTGCATGGTGCAAAACATGTGGACAGAGTGAGGAGAGGAGAGATATCTCAACAAAGCCGTTGACTAGGGAGCGGTGAAGTAACTGACAGGACAGAAAGAATCGATGCAGAGGGTCGATGGACAAACATTAAGTCCACAAGCTGACAAACACAGCAGACAGCCCTCACAATGCAGCACGGACAGGGAGCCTTTACACGGGCTGTGGTCTACTGGGGCATTGAGACAACAGCGCTAATGTCTCTGTGGTGACAGCTAAAGTAGTATAAAGATGGGCAGGTAAACAAGAGGAAGTGGCTAATAAGCGGTGGCAAACAATGAGCTGAGTTGAGTTACAATGGATTACTCTGTTCGTTAGTTTAACTGGAATACTGGCTGTATAGAAGACAGGACCAAAATCAAATCCCGGCCCAGATTTCATGTAGATGTACAGACAAGTCACAAAGTGAAAAAGGAAAAACTTGGATGAAGTGGTGAAACAGAACAAATTCAGATCCTTCTATACAGGGTAAAAGGGGATCATTTAAAGGTTTGATTAATTAAGAGGTGGTGAGGCTGGGAAGAGGATGGATGTTCTTAAATGGACATGAGGAAGCTCATGTTATCTGATGATCTGGCACTGCAGCAGCAGTGGAAACATGCTGTTTGTGAGGAGGGCAATATCCTGTCCTCTCTCTTCCACATCCCTCTCCCTGCTTCCTGCCACCTCTGTGCTTTCCTTCTCCTCCCCAGCCTATCCACACACACGTAACCTACAACTACTGTTCTGATAAGCAATCGCTATCACTCTGACTGACACTGCCCAGCTGCATACAGTGTGCCTGTCTGATGACAAAAACATCCACACACTCCACTCAACCAGTAAACGGTTAACATCTGAACGCCCCTTGCAAACCAGTAAAATCTGCTCTCCCACCCCTGCTGCTCGCGTGTCCTTGATCATCGGCAGGGGCGACACCAATGAACTGTGATCAATGGACGAGCCTTTGCATAGAATTATCATTTAATCGCAATCTGCGTTAAAGCCATGCGCAGACACACACACACACACACACACATTTGCAGCATGAACAGACAGCAGTGCACACCAGCAGCACAGACACGCAGGAGACAGAGAGGGAGAGAAAACGCCCTGCCTTGTTCCATGTCGAAACCCCAGCCCTCTGGGTAGTCTACACAACACATACACGCACCACCTTCACATAAGATGTTCTTTAGAGACAATTTAGAGGCCACATCTGGACAACGACGCTGATTTCTAAGCGCCCCCCATTCTGTCTTTGTTGGCCATCAGTAGGCGAGCGATCACAAGCTTATAGACACGCTGATCGTGACGTTCAATTTATGTTTGTAATTATCGATGTAGCTACTGTTCTCTGATCTGCCACGTCTGCATAATGACAATTAACCTTCATAAATGGTTGGTGAAATGTAAAGATGAGCGTATTTTTACGCCAGAGAGGAGAGGTGAGGGCAGCACAGAATGAAACCCATGCAATCAGCCAAGTCAAGGAAAACACACAATATAGCCAGAAAGCATAGATTTAACATACAGTGCTTCGGCTTGCGCTGTATATCGACATGTTAGGAGCTTTTTAAAAAAAGTTTTACCTTTAACTTGAGTTTCATATTCGGCCACTATCTCCTTGTCTTTTCGGAATTTCGCCGGAGACGTCATGGCTGAGTTTGGAGATCAAACCACTTGTCCTCGTTGCGAAGTCAATTTTGTCTCTATCAATCAATAGAACAGGCGTAGACGCGCGGGAAATGCCACTCTGGAATAGGTTTTGGAAAGAATAAGAGAGAGCCCAGATGAGAGATTGCAGCTCCTCAGTGTGCCCGCGGATCTGTATTGTCTCCCTGCCTCTGTTCACTCCGGGCGCATTGTGAGTTTGGCGCTGCTGCCGCTGTATGTTCCCATCCGCCGCCGCGCCTCTCCGCCTCCTCAAAACCGGTTTTAAGAACTGCCAGTGAAAGGAGATTCATTACCGTCCTAAAACACAGTGATGTCTCGTCAGTCAGCGCTTTCAAAAGTAGCTTTTTTAATATCTGCCCTTAGCGTGTATCGGTCTTGCAGCTACCCGTCCGCTTCTCTCGACTAAACTGTTCTTCTCTCCCCCCCTGAAGTGAGAGAGAGAGGAGGAACTCGTTGGAGATGGAGGGGCTGGCTGGTCAGCTCTAGTGCGCAGGACAGGCATGGATGAACACATGGACGACATTCATTTACGTATTTTCCAAACAAGCCCTTAACTGCGTAAAAGTCACATAGGTTAGGTGTAATGTGCGGATAATGTTTTGCAGGGTGGGTAAAGTGAGCAAAAGTGGGTTCAATAGCCACTTCATAGATCCTTAACATTATGACCTGACATGTGTTTCACAGATGTCGCCATTAAGTCACGTATTTTCTTAACAAAACTGCAAATTACCATCACCTCTTGCTGAGAATGTAGCTAGCGTTAAAAAGTTTTACCTTAGCTTGCTAGCAAGCCATTCCATAACTCTGGCTCTCCGTAAAGTTATTCACCGATGATTCTATTTGACACAATGGAAATGCACTGTCTTGTAACAATAACGTTAATAGTGTTATTTCAGCTGTCTATTTAAAATGACCCTCCTCTTGAATGTCAATGAATTAACTCTTTGTACACCGCCTCAACGATGCTAATAACATGAGCTAATACTTCCCACGCCACAATTGGTGAAACGGGATTCGAATGACTTGAAAACAAACCAATCGGCTTTCAGGATATTTGAATGTGGGCGTTTCAACGTTAATTTACAACCAATTAAATTCAGACTTTGCAAGGAAGGTGTCCAATGACGTCGGTTACTATGGTGTATATCCAATCAGAGCCAAGTGTAGGGTCTTTTAAAGCTAGTTTCAGGAAGTGCCGTTAAATACCAGGAAGTTGTAAACAAAGCTGACAGCTATTTGGTTAGCTGTTAACTACATCCGAATGGATGCAGAGCCAGTCGTGTAAACAGGCTAGTTATTTGTGGATGCATCAGTAATACAGCTAAACATTTTCTTTTATATAACGTTAGAGATCGTTTCGCGGAAACATACATTTTTGTGCGTTTGTTCAGCAAACTAACGTTAGCTGCATTCCGTTCTGTCGTTAGGAAGGCTAACGTTTACACAAGGACGTTAGAGCTGGCGTTGACGCTTGCGAAGTTACGTCCAATCGATTATTATTACTCCACATTGAACGGACAGTGAGTACATCAGTACCCGGGTGTTGTTTTTCTGCTGCATTTGTTGCGTGGGGCAGAAAGAGCGAGAGTCCATTTTAGCAGGACAACAATGTCTACGTCCAACGCTAATTTCAAAAACAAGTGTGTGACCCAGGTGAACTGCATATTTTGTGAAAGTCTGCTGTGCACGAGAGGCATGAAAGCAGTGCTTCTTGCCGACACTGAAGTTGAGCTTTTTTCGACTGACATACCTCCCAATAGGTGAGTGCTAATCGAGTTAGCATTGATGCTAGCCTTTGTTTATGTCTGTTGTTGCTAGGACAAGATGAGCTTGAAACAATCTGCAGGTAACTGATATCTAACAGATGATTTGGTAGGAAGATGAAGGCATTGTTGACACATCTACTGTGATTAACAGGGTTTGTTGCATGAAAATGTGGAATTGATGTAGGTTTTAACTTGTCATGGCTATGTTTGTTTCTCATTACACGCACCCTCCCCCCAAGAACTGTTGACTTTGTGGCCAGCTGCTACTCTACTGAAAGCTGCAAATGCAAACTGAGGGACATTGCATGTCTCAAGTGGTATGTAAAGCTCTTCTATAGCCTGCAGGGTTTACTTTAGGAAGACCATCTGCTGATGTGAGATGTTAATAAAAAGTAAAGCCACCACACACAGCAAACAGGTAGACCCTGTCTTAGGGTGTTTTTTCATAGTATAGGCATGTAGAGCACAATTATTACTTTTTTTAATTTATTGTTTATTTATATGATGATTTATCACTTCTATTGATGGTCTAATAATCATCAGAAAATTGTGACAAATGCAATTTTTCAGAGCTCAAGGTGAACTCGTATATCTTGTTTTGTCTGGCAAAATCCAAAGTGATTCAATTTAAAATGATATAACAATGAGAAAAACAGCAAATTCTCACACCAGAGAATAGTTGGTGTTTTTTCTTGGAACATGTCTCAAACAATGAATCGGTTATCTAAACAGTTGCCAATTAATTTTCTGTCAATGATAAGAGAACAACTGTTGACTAATCATTTCAATTCTATTCACATGTAGTTAAAATGAAATTCTGCCATTGGGCAATCATTGCCAGATGACGGATAACAAGAGCAGAAGGATTAGAGTTTGGTGATACAGTGAGGCTTTATGGAGCCTCTTTTGTATCCCCAAGCCTTTGTTGTTGTACACATGGTAAAAACAAACATCTGTTAGATAATAGACACCCACTAGTGGAGTTAGCACTTTACAGAAGTGCCCCCAGTAAAGCGCTGACACACATTTCTTCTTTATTCTCTCTCCCTCTCCCAGTGGTAATGTTGTGGGCTATCATGTTGTGGCCCCCTGTAAACCCTGCCTGCTTTCCTGTAACAACGGCCATTTCTGGATGTTCAACAGCGATGCTGTATCTACTCTCAACAGACTGGATGCGACAGGTAAGAATAAGCAAAGTCCTAATATAGGTCTCTGGTATAAGCCCCTCTTGATTGTAATTGTTTTCATAAACCCTTGTTACCCTCAAATGTGTCTGCAGGTCTGAATCTGCTCCTGTGGGGAGATCTTCCCGAGCTGGATGACAGTGAGAATGAAGAATCAGAAAGCCCATCAGAGGAGGAGTGTATTAGGTAGAGAGGGAAATGGACAATGTGCAAGACCTGGGACACCAACATTTTAGAGGTGTAGCTTGAAGAGTGTACAAACCATGCTTGAGATAAGAGAGAAAAGAGAAGCCTTAAAGGGTAATTTAATACAGAATCAAATAGGGCAGAAAAGTGCTGCTCTCCATGGGTTATTTAAACCATGGTGCACATCAGGCCAGACCCCAATCGGTGATGTCACAGCAGGTGTTTTGCCTTTGACAGCTGATCAACACCTGCTGTGACATCACTGATTGGGGTGTGACCAGAAACGCATCATGCTCTAAAGTTTGAACCCAGTGAAAATGGTGCAGCAAAAGTCTTTGGCCATATGTAATTTTGTGTTGAATTACCCTTTTAACCTGTGACCATGCCTTTCCCTGTCACTTTTCACAGTTAAAAGCACAGACACACACACGCTGTCACACACATTCTTTCCTCTCTTTTTTTTCTCTTTTTGTACATTTGCGCAAGGTATTATACAACGTGGCTGAAGTACTCTAAAAAATAACCGACAGCTAGACTCCTTAATCTAATGCATTCTACTTTTCATCACGGAGTCTCCCCTGAGGTCATGGTTTTGACCAGCCTCGTGAGCAGTTGGGGGTGCGGTATGATATGTCAGTGAAACTTACCAGTGAATGCTGTGCTTTTTCAAGCTGTTTACGCTGAGTCCAACTTTCTGAAAAGATGACCACAATTCGCCTACCTTCTTGTTAATCGCAGTTATAATCTGTACATTGAATATGCTGTAATAAGCAAACACTCCTATTAACAGTCATGTCTTAAAGGCTTATATTTTCTCTGTGTGGCTTGGTGCTGACTGAAAGTTGGAGTGCTTTTTGAATCCCATGTGTTGGAGAAATAGCACAATTATTGAATTTTTGATTTAGCTTACCTTACGATCTGAAGTTCTATCAGTGATACGTTTTCATTATGCTAACACAGTATTAGTTACACACCTGACAGCAGCAGTATGTGTTTTAACACCCAGATGAATCTGACTGTAGCAGTGTCTGATACTAACATACTAACCATGCCCTGGGTGTGCTTCCGCAAAGGCCCGGAGCAGCTGAATTTTAAAGTTTGGTGATTGCTAAGAGCTCAAATCAAGTAAAGTAAATTCCCGGATTGACGATATAGAGTGAAGACAGAATAGGAGTGTAAAAAGGTGCACTTATGCAGCACTCTATAGCTCTTCAATGTCTGAAAACATGACTTCTAAATGGATTTGTGTCCATGCTGTTTTTGTTACATTACTGTTCAGTTTTATGCAGCAGCATACTTGTAGCACCTGAAGAGAAGGCAGAAGTCAACTCCAAAGAATCATGGAACATATCAGTATTGAACTTATGGACTGGCTACCCCTCTAAAAACCTCATTTTGAATAGCATTTCACATTTTTAAGTAATCTGTTGTGAAGCTAAGCTTAAATCAATGGAGCTGACCATAAAATGCTCAAACCTTGGTATTCTATTGGCCTTACTGGTGCTGTGTTTACTGACAATGAATCTTTTGTTAAGCTGTTGACTCGGGGGTTGATGCTGTGTGTTAGTTGGTCATCACCAACTGACCAGGCCTTCTCCTCAGCATTTTGTGCCAGATACAAGCTTCAACATCCCAGTCACAAGGGACGTAACTCAAGTCGGCCCTTTTTTGGCATTGCCATCATTCCGCTCTTGTTTTTGTTTCACTGCTGTGCCCTGCTGATACTATTTCTGTGAGCGACTGAGCTTTACCTGTATTGTCGGCAAACATAGAATGTCACTTCTTACCTAAAGGAAAAGGATAAAGGGAGTAGGTCTTTTTAACTTTAATTGGCCTCTTTGTTAATCTATCCTATAGCCTTTTAGTTGTGAAAAAATACACAGAGGAGGAAAACTGTGTCCAGATTTTCACGTCCTTCACCTCAAACTTATAACTGACGGTCTGCTACACTTGCACACCAAATACTGTCTATGTGGTAAACTGATAGGATACAGTGCATCAGATAGGTATTTATTAAATCCACATACCAAATATCTATAACCACATACTTCCTTTTTGTTTACAAGCTTCGTTTACAAACGCATTGGTTTGTATTGTGCTATAGTACTTATGTTTTTGTTAATGTATTTAATATTTCATTTGTGATGTAGTGCTTTGTTTTGTACGTTAAAGGTTGGATGTGTACAGTTTTACCTCAAGAAGGTATCACTTGCGAGCTTCCTCTGGCTAGGACAATTGTTAAATGATAATCCAAAAAATTATTTAAATGGCTGTTTCTGACACAAATAACTTTGATTAACATGCCCTGCTGAAAGATGTATATTTTGGAATTGCACTGAAACTGCATTGGTAGTTCGAAAAGGTGATTTGTTGTTTTGTATGCTTGTTAACTTAATAAACTTTTTTTTTTTTCAAAATATCTTAAATGCCCTGTAGTTCTGTTGTCACTTTTTTTAACCCCTACCCTTCATTTTAGATCCACATTATCTTCTACCCCCATATCCGCTGCTCATCCTGGGCTCTACTGAAAATTACTTTACATTTACTCATTTGTCAGACTCTTTTATCCAAAGCGACTTACATTTGAGGAACAACACACACACACACATACACATCAATAAAGCATCAATACAGTAAGAGATCTACAATAGATACAATAAATACTAGTAAGAGCTAAAAGCACGTCTGGTGTCAATTGGGGGATATCCAAAATTGACATTACATGACTGAACACTGAAGTTTCACTCCAGAATGTTTTAGAAAAGTTCTCACAAATCATATTTGTATGTTTTTATCTTGTTTTAATGACTCGCATAATATCCTGTTATTTGAATAAATGCACAAAACATTGCTGTTGTGAAGTAGTATAGTACTATGTGTGTATATATGAAGTAGCACAGCCAACATCATCGACACATGACCCTGAGTTCTCTCTAACTCACTGTACAGATGACCAGTGGTCAACAGAAATTAAGGACATTTACTTAAGTAGAAATTTCAGCTACTTGTATTTTACTGGAGTATTTTCTTTTCTTCTACTCCATCACATCTTAGAGGAAGATATTGTACTTTTTACTTCACTACATTTGTCTGACAGCATTAGTTACTAGTTACTTTACAAATTAAGATGTTGACACACAAAACATGAGGACTTAATAAAATATGTTTTGTTATAAATTAAACTACCCAACATTTTAGTACATCTGACGCGATTATCAGATGGACACAGAAGTTAATTGGCAACAACTTTGACCATTTCATGTTTCCACCTTCACAAATGTAAAAAATAGCTCCTTTTCCTTTATTTTAATTTATTTGTAATAATATTGAGCTTTTTGCTACTGGTTAGACAAAGCAAGCACTGTGAAAGTGTCACTTGGGGCCCTACTTAATTGTGATGGCATTTCTCACTATTTTCAGAAGATACACATAACAGTATAACGTTGAATTATTATGGATAGGGCAACCTGTGTATAATGGATACCATTGTTTAATCAAAAGAAACGTTTGCCTACTGTATTTTTAAATTCTGTTTGTCTTGTCAGGAACCCTTGACAAACATTACTAATAGTGTTCTTACTTTTGATTAGTATTTTTAAAAGCAGGGACTTTTGTACTTTGGCTCAAATAGAAATTTACTACTACTTTTAGTGGAGTAATATTTAGCAAGGGTATCTGTACTTTTTTTTAATCAAGTACAGGATTTGTGTACTTCGTCCACCACTGCAGATGACTGCCAAGACCGATAATGAATTTACCAAATCGTGAAGTCAGTTTTATTTCCAGCCACAAATTACAAGTTTGTCTCAGAGGGCTTCACAATTGGTGCAACATTCTCTATCCTTTAGCCTGCTGAGTCAGATAAGGAACAACAGAATCCTCTTACGGGGAAAAAAGAAAGTAAGAGCAACAGAAATTGGGGTTCCTTATGCAGTATGGACAGTATTATATAAACAAGTAAAGTATAGCATAAAGTACAGCAGATTATGTGTGACAGAAATTATTCTCTTTGGTGGACATTTTGGTTCCACAAGTCTCATTATGATGGTTGAAATACACAGTATTTGGTAGTGTCGGCACATCAGGGAAGGGTTGAGTAATCATGGAAACAAACCAAAAACTGGATAATCTTCCTGCAAATGATATCTCTCTGTGTTCTCTGTTACTAACAAGAAGTTCACAACCTGAACCATCTAGCTGTCAGAAAGTATAATAATCGTTATTCGCTCCAACTTCCGGGGGGACGTACAGCACTGTTTTCTCTGACCTGCAAAGTTGGCGTAAACTTGTTGATCAGTTCTGTCAGTGCATTGGAATTAGGTATTTTTTAAATCCAGGCATTAAGCAGATGTAAAATGTGCATCAACATTGTAGCTGAATATTTGCATCCTACACTTCTACACAGGCTGAGGAAGATGCTTTTGTTTTGGAGGTGAGCAGTAATCTGTGGTTTAAAAAGAAACATCCACTAACATTGGATGAGTTAACCTGATCTCTAGTTCTGTGCGTTGTTTTTGCTTTCAAGGCGTGGGGTTGTGAAACTCTAAAGAAAACTAGTCCTTTTTTGGAATGATCTGACTGAAGTTTGGTATTTGTTTTTGGATACCTCCTTCTCAAGCATTCTCTGCTGCTGTTGGGACATGTACGGGGCAATTTAGGTAGCGATGGCAAGAAACAAATAGTTGTGGCTTGCCCTGTTTCACATGTTTTTGTAGCATCTGCAACTTACAAATCATGCCCTCACGACATCAGCTCTATGTTTGTGGTTTAATCTTACTCCATCGCATGCTCAACTGCCTGCTGTTTTTGTTGGTTTGGATGTCCTTTCACTAAAAGTCACACTCTGCTTCAACATAGGTTATTCCTGTAAAAGGGAACTAGACTCTTGGTACCGTTTGTTTCCCAGAGGAGCAACACTCATTGTGCCTGCAACGTACCCAGTGGTCAACAGGAGAAGACTGGTTGTTCTAGGCAGCTTCCAGGTGTGTGTTTGCAAGACTTTGCATGAATGTGGAGCAGGGTGCTGCTGAATAAAAGAATGTATGCTTGGCAGTCAGCGCGTGGTTGCCTTCCCTAGACAAATAAAGGATAAATTAAATCCACAATGCTGACTCTCTGCCCCAGTGACAGCCAAGCTTAATCAGGCAGAGACTCTGCTTATAGAACAACAGGGTAATACAAGTCTAACAGATCCAAACCCCCTCCGCACCAACCCTGGGTTGTGCAAATAAACAACACAGGTACGCATGATCGAGTAGCTAAGTATGGTCAAAAAAGTTGACAACATATACTATTTTCTTGTACTTTTCCTTTAACTGAACAACGTCAGCTGTTTCCTGTCTGGATTGGTGGTTCCTCTCAGGGGTTGTGAGTGAATTAACAATATGGGAAATAAGAAAACAATCATATTCTGCCACAGTTCATGAGACTCTATGTACTTTTAAGAAAGGTGTAGTTTGACCTGCCCTTATGGAAACAAAACTGACAGCAGTGTGAGGAAGATGTCAATCAAGCATGGTGTGTACAGTCCTGAGAAGAGGCCTAACATATGCCAAAAATAAGTAAAATGATCTATATGGTTGAAACCTTGATGCTAGTTAATTACAAACTCAATTATAGTATACCTCCTGATGCTTTAGTGGAGTGTTTTAACAGAACACTCTGGCGCACTCTGTTGGGTGTGAAGTACAATGACACACAGAGAAGACTCGACAGAAACAACGCACCACATAAGGTCAACTCAAGTTTTTTATTCTATTTCATTATCAGTTACACAAACAAAAATTCTGACAACTACAGACAGTATATGTGCCTACTGTAGAATGAGGCTTTATGTATTTTAGTCATGAATTCATGCATACATCTATATCTATTTGTTATTTCCAAATACACTGGACAAAATTATAAACTCAACACTTTTGTTTTTGCCCCATTTATCCTGCGCTGAACTCATAGATCTAAGACTTTCTCTATGTACACAAACGGCCTATTTCTCTCAAATATTGTTCACAAATGTGTCAAAATCTATGTTAGTGAGCACTTCTCCTTTGCCGAGATAATCCATCCACCTCACATGTCAAGATGCTGATCAGACAGCATGGGTATTGCACAGGTGTGCCTTAGGCTGGCCACAATAAAAGGCCACTCGAAAATGTGCAGTTCCATCACACAGAACAATGTCACAGATCGCAAGTTTTGAGGGAGCGTGTAATTGGCATGCTGACTGCAGGAATGTCCACCAGAGCTGTTGCCCGTGAAATGAATGTTCATTTCTCCACCATAAGCCGTCTCCAAAGGCAGAGAATTTGGCAGTACAGCCAACCGGCCTCTCACAACCGCAGACCACGTGTAACCGCACCATCGCAGGACCTCCACATCCAGCATCTTCACCTCCAAGATCGTCTGAGACCAGCCACCCAGACAGCTGCCGCACCAATCGGTTTGCATAACCAAAGAATTTCTGCACAAACTGTCAGGAACCGTCTCAGGGACCCCGGACTCCCACAATATAGTGAAACTGCACATTTTCGAGTGGCCTTTTATTGTGGCCAGCCTAAGGCACACCTGTGCAATACCCATGCTGTCTGATCAGCATCTTGATATGCCACACCTGTGAGGTGGATGGATTATCTCGGCAAAGGAGAAGTGCTCACTGACACAGATTTTGACAGATGAGAAAAGACTGGACTCCCTTCACAGTAAATTACGTCAGCACTGTTTTGTTACATAGTGCTGTTACCTTGCCTTTAGTTGGAAGTATCTACATGAATGTGTAATCCTCCTTAGGGAGAAACCAGTCAACACAGCTGGTTTTAGATGTCACACATTCTGCTTTTGTGGGTTCCTGTCACTGTTGTGGTGATCTGTGGGGAGGAAAGTTTTTATATAATTATGATTAAATAATAGAAATAATAGAAATTAAATCATGTCAGCCATTGATTTTCCTGTAATTCAGGGCACAGTGATTATGGTGGAAACTCATAATCATGGTTGTCATGGTTACATAAGCCCAAACATGTAGGTCCTCTGCTCGAGATGGTCAAGAGTGGAGGAAGGACTTTTCCATGATTAGAAATCTATGTATTGACAAATATAAAAATAAATACATGCAATATAGAGAAAACCATAAGTGCAAAAATAAAAACGTAAAACAATAATGAGATTGCAACCAATAGACATTTTATTGGTAAATTAAGTTTGTCAATTGTAGAGCATAGAATTAAATGAATATTGTAATAAATGAGGAAGGGAGTAAGTGAATTATGAAATGAACATAAACAGATTTAACATGTAACAAAAATGCAGAGAAAACATCAGTGGAGATAAAGATTTCCAATCATTACATGGAGAATGTGGCTGTTATTTGTTGATTTGGAAAATAAAATGATTTAATTGACTTGTGATGGGGTTGTACGGTGGTGCAGTG